AACAACAACAACAACAACCACCACCGCCGACACCGCCGTCGCCACCACCACCACCGCCACCACCACCACCACCGCAACCGCCACTGCCGACAACAACAACATCAACACCACTTCAACACCAACACCGATACCGACACCGAGGACAACAATGCAATGGAGCGCAGCGCGAGCGGACTCCACGCATGGTGGGCGTATTACCCTGGTATTACCTCACCAAACACTCACTACAGCGTGAAACTGACCTTGTGACCTGAAACTTGTCTGAAATTGTCTAGCAGTGCTCTGGTAACCGATCCACGTTGTGCTGCCTCGTGCTCAGTGAGCCGACAAGCATATGAGGCCTCATCCCCATCTCCACCGCGCAGGTTTGCCTGCTGCGGCTGCCCCGTATCCACGAGGGACCGTCGAGCACATGAGAAGTTCAAAAGACGTCCACACAACACGACCACGGCATGGAGCTGCCGGCGACGTCACTCCTGAGTACCTGCAATCACTCAAATGGCATACTGCGCATTGAAAGCCGAGGGCGCCCAATGAGCGCAACGAGCGCAGCGGGCTTGTCACAGCCAGCACTGCAAGCCGGCACAAGTGCGCAGAAAGAGAAGCACTGTCCCGTTCTTAGGCTAGAAAGCGAAGAAACCACAAGTTTGTGGCCGAGCCACTAATGGACGAGCGTTGGCCCGAAAGAAAAGGAGGAGGCACTGTGGGACTCCCACCAGTTTCGACCGGACCAATGTGACTGGTGCCAGCTGCCTTCATCGCGCTGTCTTTCGTCTGTGGGAGGGGCAGCAGTGTCACATTGGCATTTGTCGCGGGCCTGTGCACGATCATACTGTTGGCGAGCTGGCGTGTCCCCGTGCCGATGGTCTTTGCGCATCTTGCGGACACGCGTCTTGTCCTCCCTGGGCATGTAGATGATCATGCGGTTGATGAGGCCACAGCTTCGGCACGTCTGATCGTAGACGGACTTGAGGGATCTTGATTGGTAAATATTGGTAATGAAGTCTGGGTCCCGATAGGACTCCCCATGTCCTAGACCAAACAACAACAACACCGATAACACCAACACCAACACCACCAACAGCAGCAGCACCACCACCACCGCCGTCAGCACCACCGCCACCAACAACAACAACGCCAACAACGCCAACAACACCAACAACACAAACACAACAGCAACAGCACCAGCACCACCAGCAGCAGCACCACCACCACCAGCACCACCACACCAGCAGCAGCAACAGCAGTAGCCGCGGCGGCGGCAGCATCAGCTAAGTATAAAGTTTACTGGTTCCACAATTAGCTCAGCGTCGTTTGCTATCCACTTTGTTGGAATAGAGCTTCTCCAAGTGGTTCTCCTGCATAAAGGAATACTGGGGCAAGAACGCAACTCTGTGCAAGTCTTGCTACTTGACCGCCTTGGTCTCTCTGGACCAAGCGCTGATCACGCTGATGACCAAGCTGCTGTCCATCAGCTTCTCGGTCCGCATTTGTACCTCGCGCAGCCCAAGATGCAAAGGCAATTCATGGCTTCATGGCAACATGAGTCGAGGGCATTGCAGATGGCAGTGCTTTGACGCATTTTCAGACCATCCACCCTCGACAAGGTACATCTGTTCTGTTTCTCCAGGACTCAATCATGCTTTCCTGAGCCGGAAGCTCTTGCGATACTTCCATCACTTGGTTTTGGATGCCTTGCAGCTTCCGGCCCTGGCCAGCGATAGCATGTGACAGCAGCTTCGCACAGGCAGCAAGGTTGAACCATCTACAAATCATCGATTGTACACTTCTTGGGATCGTTCATGTTCCTACTAACCGGGACAAGCAACGTTGTTACCGTGTCGCACAAAAAGCGAACTAGTTCACTCGCACGTCGGATGTTTCTCCAGTCCACTGTCCGAGAGCCTTGGTGTGCATCGAAAATCGCATTTCGTGCCTGGCCTGGCTAAGCGATGCGAACGAAAGTATTATGCACAGTGCCGCTCACGAGCGAGAGAAAGCGGCTATCAAGAACTCTCACAAGCCTCAGGCCTTCTCATGGAAACAGCTCGAACAAAAACGAACGCGCAACACCTCACTTCCCAATCCCTAGGTGCACACGTGCACTGCCCGAAACCGGAGTTGAAGATGTCTAGGCAGATGTGACACGAGCACATGTGCGTGCGCAGGTGAGGTCTGGGCTGGACTCGGAGTCTGCCATCTAGGGACATGTAGGGCCGAAACGGGGGAGAATCCAATATAAGGTTTCTGTCCAGTGGGCATTTACAGTACCAGTACCGGCCAATTCTTGAGTGCTTGGGCAGAAGCTGCAAACTTAACCCATAAACCCAAGCTGATGCAGTCGTGCTTGCATCCCGATGCCACGCGAAGCACAGCATAGCACAGCACCGTACAGATGCCTCCGTGACGGAGCACTGCCAAGCCCAGAGAATGCTGGCAAGAAGACCAGTGCGTGTGGCAGCACCCACTCGATCCTGAGCAAATCCACAGATTTGCACGGCTTTCATGCCGCGGTCTGTCACGTCTTGGCAACGTGCGAAGATAATTCTGGCTTCTTGTGTTTTCTGCCGCAGATGTTCCTGGTGTGAGAACTGCGTCAGCTACTGTACCACCATGGCTGCACGTTGGTCCAGGACGACCTTCATTCTCAATTCAAAGTGCTTGACATCCTGCTCGAACAATCGCTCCTGGTCAAGCGCCGCACTGTAGCCGTGGAACTGACAAGATGCTAGCTGCAAAGATGTTTCAAGCAAACTCTGCAAGCATCGGGACGCCGTGCAGGTAATTTTCTCGATGCGGGAAGTGCTCTCTTCATCCACCTCAGCTGAATTGTCCGGCTTCGGAAAACTGACTTCTTCCAAGCAGAGACTGCTTGCAAATTTTCGGGCAAGCGACTGGGATAGTGAGTGGTGGGCCTTCCATCCTTATCGTAGGTCACGCGGTGAGCCGTCCTGCCATACAATCACTTACAAACACGGACAAGTCGGCAACTGGATCAAAAAGGCGACGCACATGCAGGCAGCACTCCCAGAAGTGCGACTCAACAACACGACCATTGATGATCACCTCGCATGCCAGCCAGATTAAGTCTGAGACAAAAGCCGTCTACTCCGACAGTAGGGCAAGTTTCACTCCTGGGTCCTTCTTTCTGAGTCTGCTGCCCAACTTGCCACAAACCATCCCAAACCCCAAGCACCCGTTCTGACCCAATCAGCTCCTTGTCCCCCTTGTGCTCCCCACATAGCCGCTCCGGAAATGTTGCCAACTACAGTTTGCAAGACCCTTTTCATGCCAGAGCTCCGTGTTCGCAGTAGCAGCATGTAGCTTGTAATGCCCCCCATGTGTGCTGGCAGCAAGAATTTGGATGCACTGCACATGCCAAACTCACTGTTTCTGCTCGATTCGCACTCCACGGCTTGCCGGCGAGTGACGACGACGACAACGGAACGATGATCACAATTCTCAATATTTCATGGGCAGTTGCGGCTGTGGTAACAGGCATAGTGGCAACTTATGTATAATGATAGCAAGAACCTGGAAGAGCAGTTAGGATGCTTGTGATAAGCGTATCTGATAACAGTGCTGGCTAGAAAACCAACGATGACCAAAGGCAAACCTGCCATCGCCACAACCACCAACAGCACTTTCAAGCGCAATGGCAATGACAGTACTGGTTCTCACACCCTGACCAGTAGCAGTAATGTGACCACATGGCCGATACTACTCATCATGCGGATGGTGGTACTAAGGAAGCTCTCACTGTTGGTAATTTGCCGCAGCAGTAGATTGGCAGTGATCATAGTAGGACCAATAGTAGGATAAAGCAGATCGCTGAAAATTCAATTGCGTTGAACAGCCCCCTCCGACCTTGCAACGCATAAGCTGCCGAGAACTCTGGGGGGGCGGAGCTTGGGGCCGGCTCCGCCCAGTTCCGCCTCCCTGGGGCTGAGGCCCCAGATCTACAAAGTTGACTATTGTCGATCACACTTCAGACCTTCAAAGGTAGGCATGAGAAGACAACAAGAACACAAGCTTTTCTTCGGGACATGCTTCACGGTCACGGCGTTCTCTCCTCTCCTCTCAATCATGATTTCCTGCTCTTGCGGTTATTGCTACTGCTATCGTTAGTTCGGCTGAAATTGCTCCTTTTGTGCATGTGCTTCTCATGCGTCTCACTAGGAATGTGCTTACTGTCACAGTCACTAATCGCAGCAATAGAACCCCTAGGCATGGTCAACAATGCCACTGCTGCCGTGATTGTCGAAGCCATTGGTGAGTGGTCAGTGACAGGCCCATTTAGGGTTACTATTCTGCTGGCTATCCTGATTTCTACCATTAGATATCAGGATAACTCTGTTACAGCCTTCGTGCTTGCTGCTGATATGTTAGTGGAGCATGCCCGCTGCTACTCTTCTCATCTCTTCTTGCTACGACTGTGATTACGACTAAGGCGATTACTGGTGTCTTTGCTAATTGTTACTGTCTAACATCTGCCGAGATTCCTTTCCTTCTTCAGTGGGGTCTCACAATTCTGGCTTCGGGCCACCAAAACCGAAATTGTTTTGGTTTCTGAGTTTTAACTTGTGCCATTCATCCCTCCGGACGCGGTGCTTCTGGCAAGCCTTTGTGAACATGTGGGTGGAAGGCATTTACCAGAACACTACACCGGTTACATTCTTGGTCCGAGAACCGCTGGCTGTACTTGGCTGCATGACGGCCTTGCGGGGCAAAACGGTTGGCGTTAATAGTCAACGTTTATGCTTCAGCTTTCTGTTTCATCGCGCAGGCCTGTTCAGGTATACGTTCTCACCGCATCTTCTATCCGGAAAGAAAGCAAAATTTCACAATAGGGCGACACCGCATCAGCGGTCAAACTGGGCACCATTTTGGTTGCTTCGAGCAGACTTTAGAGGAGGCACTTAGTCTTAGCAAGCCGATCAGAACAGCATGAATGTCGCGTTTTATGGCTGCTTGAGGCATTTGCCGTGTTGTTGGCATGTCAGGCGCTTCGGTCGAGCTCCGAGTCTTCCTTCAAACATGACGCTCTAGAGCGGTAGGGGCGGCACGTGCCGCCCTAAGGCACTTCAATGAAATTGAACCCCATTTCTGCATCTCTGCGAAGAGTTTTGGCACTTGCTTATTCTAAGTACGGCTCCAAGACATTCGTGGCTTTCAACAGAATGTGTCCGAGTTTCCATGTCACTCCAGGCCTGCTCCGAAGTGCTTTTCGTGCGGTCTCGCACCTCTCAGATCTTTGAAAGAAGGAGAAAAGATAGCATAGCATGGGCTGCACACCGTGCTGATCGCCTCTGCATAGAGCTTCTCGGCTTCAGCAAGCTCTATGCGAATTTCGGCAAGCTCCTGGGAGGTACAAGTAGCTAATTTTGGACACCATCAATGTGCGAGGCATGTGCCTCGGCATCGCTTGAGTTGCCTTTATCCTGGACTTGCTCCTTCGGCTGAAAACTCCATGACACATGGCACATGGTGCAGCCGCTAGTCCTCCAACAAGGATGCGCCCCGTCCTTGCTCGTGAATGCTCAGCGGTGCATGCAGCGGGCAATAGGGGCTCCGCGTAGGCACTCCACCGCCCTCTCGAGCTCGCCAAAGTTTAGCAGTGCCTTGAAAGACTGGTGCTGTGATGCATTGTGACGCATTGTGACGCTGTGACATCATGAACCCTCAAATTGCGCCGGCTGGCTCGGCCCAAGGTCAGGTGGCCTGCATACCAGAGTGGCCTCGTTTCACGCAAGGACTGCAGGGCCTTCTGTTCCAGCAGCGCATGCAAAGCGTTTGCAACTTTTCCGCTGCAGGTAAATCAACCGAGGTTTGGTTCGGGAGTGTTGTGGTCACACTTGCATCCTGTTTATACAGGTGCTGGCAACTGGCAGGCGGTCGCGCACTTTGTGTGCTCACTCAAACACTCCTGTAAGGGCGAGAAGAAGCTCTCGAGCTTCTGGATCACGACTACCTTTGCAGCGTGGCATTTGCGGCTGACTTGGAAAGGTTTTCCAGGCCGCGAACCGGAAAGCAGAATTCTGCTTCTTGAAGCCTGATTACGGCTGCGGGCTTCTCTAGGACACTGCACGGTGTCAAGACTTGTTTGACGGAGCGGACCAAGCAAGCGAAGCCGTCTGACTTTCGTGGCCCCTCCTGCATGTGATGTGAACCTGGGGCACTTGACTTTCATGATCAAACCGGCTTCATGACGTGTTGGCACGGGCCCTCCGGCATGCAGCGGTTCAGCGATGCGACGAGAATTCGGGATCCGAACAATAGCAACGTGTCCGCAACATGACCTAACCTCTGAGCCTCTGTCTGTTGATGAGGGAGCAGCATCAGGCAAGCAAGCGATTGGTGGCATTGCTTCCGCCCCATGAAGAATGAAGGCAAAACTCTACACGGCAGAGACTCAGCACGCTGTGGTTCTCTTCGTTGACAAGAACCTTACGGAATCTAGTGGACGGAAATGCACTATCTTCACAACAGCTACAGTAAGACAAGCGTGTCCTTTGTACATGAAGATGCAGCTTGACAACATCTTTGCTTTGGACATTAGGCTCCACATCGTGAAGGAGGGCATCCTTGACGAGCACCAAGCAGACTACACTGCTTGAATACAACTTACACGGCTTTGCCCATCGTCTGTCGCACGTGTCGGTACGCGGCATTTGGAAGGGCATTCGCGACGGCTGGAAGATGACGGGGCAGAGACCAGGTGCATTGCATGACCTGGCTACCAGTTGGTTTATCGTGTCATCGTGATTGCAGTCTGTAATCTGCGGCTGTTGGTCCAGCTCGCTGCAACGAGCTGCTGGAGTGATTGGGGGGGACCCAACCTCTTTCAGCGGCTCCAGCTGGCACCAGCTTCTAAAGAGTTGCACATGTGTTGCGTCCAACCGCCCTCGGCACACTCAGGAACAGGAGCATGAACAGCATTGCACACAGATATTGTCGTCAGTAGTCGTCGGACGAACCGGCCCAGAAAGAAAGAATCTGTAGTTTTGCGTAGCAAGAAATGGCAGCCTAGGGCAGTTTTCACAGAGCATGCGGCACTGCACTTGGCAATGCCGCAGAAACAGGAGAGAATTCGGCCTCCTCGCAACCTGCTCCTCCCGAGAAAAGCCATGGCCTACTCCAGCTTGTCTGATGGCCTGGAGAGATCTTAGTCGTGCTCCGTTCCTTCCTGTCGCCGGCGGTCACCACAGCTTCCATGTCAAGTCGAAAACAACAGTTGTCGATTTGAGCGAACTGTCGCGCTGTCTGGTGGTGCCCAGATGCTTCCAAGTTCAGCACAAAGCCGTGGCCAAAACTCCTCCAAGCAACATAAAGCTTCGCCGGACTGCCAAAAGTTTAAAGTCACGCCGTCACATCCATGAACCGGATCGGAGTTAACGCAGCCAGACAATTCCTGAGCCTTGCAGTCAAACCGATGTCCTGTTCGGAATTGACGAGGGTCAAGGTGCTCTGAATCATGAGAACAACCTGGACTCGGCTCGGCGAATGCAAGAAGGTTCCACGAACACATGCCAAGATCTCTTCGTGCTGTGCCGAAGGGCCATTTCCTGGTGCTTCGTGCTCAGCTGGAACTCATCCGGCAGGCCATGCTTCTGTCGCCAGCCTCTGAAGAAGGCGTAGAATACCTGAGACAGAGACTGCAGCGAAGACACCGCCACGGTACATACTTCTTCAATTTCTTGACAGGTGGCTCGGACTAACTGCTGTGGCGTAAACTCTGTCGGCCGCACATCCTCTGTGGCCCTCAGGGCTTGGGGACTAATTAAGGTGGCCGCTGCTGCTCCTAGTGCATGATGAGCCATAGCGTCCTTGTGAGCAGCTCGGATACCGCCTGAGTGCAGCTCGTGTCAGAAGTGCAAGCCAGAAGCATGCACTGCAGTCACTGCAGTAAGCAGTCTGGGGATGCAACATCGAGCGCCTTGGGCATCACGGCTGCGGGAGCGGGAGGAGCGGGAGGAGCGGGAGCTGGAGGTGCAGGCACAGGCACGGCCTGTCAGCGCGTCAGAGTCATCGGATCCTCGGCCTCTTGCAGCGCTTGCCGCACAGGCTCCTCGGCGGCCTTTGGCTTCTCCCCAAAGCCTTTTGCCCTCAGGTTGCAGCTCTTGCAGCTCTCTGGGGCGGCAGTGCCGAGGCCAAAGCCGCGTCTTCTTCCATGCTTTGAGCTTCCGCAACATGTCTGAGTCATCCTGAGTCAGCGTCTTCTGAGAGCCGTCCGTTCACGACTCGCACACGATCTGAGAAACCAGCTGCAACCTCCACGCCTTTGCCAGCTGCAGGTCTCGATGTGAGAGCCTGAGCTGCAGGATCCCTCCTTGGAGCAAAGATGAGCCACGTTTGGGTGCGCCTGCGGCGAAGGCAAACCCATGCCAGCAAAGGCATTGCGTAGCCTTTACATGCTTGGCCGGCTTGGAAAGCTGCAAAGCAAGCACAATGCCGATACGCGATGCTTGGTCGCTTAGCCCAAAGCATTGGTTGCATGTGTAGCACCAGCCATGCCAAAGCTGCCAGTCGCAGAGCTCGCTGGATGCCCATGGCAGATCTCTGTTTCTTGGCTCGTGTTCAGGAAGCCTTACGGCACGCACTAGCGCCTCGAATGCGACGATGTAACATCAATGAGGTGCGAAAGCTAGACTTGAGTTGGGCCGTCGAACCCGCGAACATGAGCAGTTGAAGCTGATGGTCAGATGTCGTTCTGTGGTTTGCAGCAGATTGACCACAGAGCCATCATGCGACCTCATGCAACCTCGGCCACAAAGCCGAAACTGGCGTGGAACGGTGCTGAAGAAGGCAGAGTGTCGGGCCGGCTTTCGACAGCCTGCTCCGCAGTCCTGAGCATGCACGGAAGCTAAGAGGTCACACAATGTCTAAAAATGTTTGAGGCCTGCCTGATTGCGTCGAATGGCCGATCCAGGATGAGTAGCACCTGAGCCATCTGCCTGGCAAACTGGCCTGATGACACTTGACGTCATGGAGAGCCCATAGCCATCAAACATGACGGGGTGTCTCAAACACAGGTGCTCGCTCAAAGATGTCTTCAGTGAAAAGCAAAGCCTCTTCCCAGTGCTGCAAGGCCTGCCAACAGCCAAGCTAGTGCCTTCGCATTCGCATACCAGTTTCAGTCAGCCTTAACACAAGACATGCAATCAGCAAGAAGGTACCTGCGATACATGTGCATCGGCACCGCACCCACCAACATTGGCATGCAATGCAAAACAACTGATTCAAATAAAGAATGTAGCATTGCCGGCACACCTCAAGCAAACTCTAAACTTTGGTCGCAGACGCGGACTGCGCGGGCGCTTGTTCGGAGGGACCCGGAACTTCGGATCACCCTGGAACGATGCATACGTGTCCTTTGGAACTTGCTGCCTAGATCTTGTTACCAGCTGCAGTGCATGTCAGTTTCCCTGCTTGCGTGTGTGTGTGTGTGTGTGTGAGCACATGCGTGTCCGCGTGTCCGCATGAGCGTGCGTGCACGCGAGCGTGCAAGCGCGTGCGTGTGCACATGCACATGTATGTGTATGTGTGCGTGAGCTTACCTAGCACATGGAAAGAGGGTCACTCCTATTCTGCAGGGAGTCCAATGTCGCACGGGCCTGTCTAGGATGCCTGTGCCAACGAAGCTACTCCAAGACAGGGGATGGGTGGTCTGATCAACCACCGTCACCTGCACCTGCAAAGTGATGAACAAAGCGTTGAAAGCCGTAAAAAAAAAAAACATCTAGCATCGTCACTCTGCATTGACTATCCTCGTTGTTGTTTCTTGAACAGTTCGCAGCAGCCATGGCTGGTGTGAAACAACGAACAACAACCCCACCTCACCCCTCTTCTCTTCTTGCCTGTTGCTCTTGCCGAAATCCCACAAGTGTGGAACATAGGGTCCCGGAGACCCGTTAACAGCGGCTTTCCGTCATGGCGCCGTGGTGGCCCTGCGGGGTAGCTGTGGCCAGGAGCCAGATATCGGGCTGATTCTTTGGGCTGATGGGTTGACACTCCCGGGCACCTATTCTATACCGACTGTCCGGAACTAATACGGGCAACGGCATGTGCGGATGACGGCATGTGCATCTAACATGAGCAGTAACAGTGCGTTTAATGCAAGAGCAGGTCACAGGATCACCTCCACTATTCCGTCCATATTTTATCGCTTCTTGTCTCAGGGAATGCAAGTGCATGTGAGTCTGACATGAGTGCTAGTGCATCGCTTCTTTGGGAAGTGCAGCATTTTGGCATTACATCTTCTTCCCACCCCCAGCAGCGCAACAACCGCGGCAGCAGCAAAGCAATAGCGGCCCCGCTGCTTCGTTTGAGTGCATGTGTGTCTAACATGAGTGCAGGTGCAGCAACTGTCGTCTAACACAGCTTGAAGCCTGCCCCACACTTGCGTGGCTGTGTTTGTATGTGAGCTTCCTTAGGACATAAGAAAGAGGGTCACTCTTATTTTGCAGGAGGGTCCAATGTTGCACGGGCCTGTCTGGGATACCTGTGCTTTAAAGACGGCATCTGCCTCGCCAGCGGTGTCGTTGGGGTCTGCGCCGGCCACCCCCACCCCACACACACACGCAGTTTCTAAAAGGATGTTGGTTGGCTAGATGTTGTTGGTGATAATTGTGGTACTTAACGAAAATAAGATATCACACCAGTCATCGATCGCATCTTCATAGGCGAACCAACTGCTTCGCC